GAGAGATGGTCTACAAGACCACTCCCTCCCTCCGGGAAGGGAAAACAAGACTTGGTCCGCAAACCGAGCCAAAGCACAAAGAGTTCCGAGACCCGGAGGCAAGGCTCTCAGCCAAAACTCCGAAGCCTCAGAACAAGCACAATATACACCATCACCGAGCACTCAATCGATGACGTCTGAGTCTTAAGGTCGGTCAAAAATGGGGTGTCTACAGGGTGAAGCAATGCTTTCTAAAAATTATATTCTTAATACAGTATCCCGAAAGAAAGTGAATCAAACACCTTATGAAATGTGGCATGGGAGAGTACCATCCTACAAATACTTAAAAGTGTGGAGGTGTTTGGTTAAAGTGGCTATTCCTAGTCCTAAGAGGACTAAGATAGGTTCTAAAACTATTTCTTGCATATTCATTGGTTATGCCAAGAATAGTAGTGCATATCAATTTTTTATTCCTAAATCAGAACATTCCGAAATACATGCAAATACTATTATTGAATCTCGGAATGCATCATTCTTTAAAATGTGTTTCCTAATAAAACTGGACAAAAAACTAGTACTAATAGAAGATCTTATGATGCTATTACTAGTCATGATCAAGAACATGATCAAGAATAAGATCGAGAACAAGAGCAAAAGTTTGATCAAAATGAGGAAGATGAACCTAGGCATAGTAAATGTGCCAGAACCTCAAAATCTTTTGGTCTAGATTTTCTAACTTTTTTGTTAGCAAGTAAGCCTTTTAAATTTCAAAGAAGCTATGTCCAGTCCTGAGGCTTCTTTATGGAAATAGGTTGTAAAAAGCAAAGTTGAATCCATCTTGCAAAATCATATTTGGGAATTTGTGGATTTGCCACCAAGTTGTAAACCTCTTGGGTACAAGTGGATTTTCAAGAGACAAATGAAAGCAGATGGATCAATTGACAAATATAAGGCAAGACTTGTGGTTAAAGGATATAGACAAAAGGAAAGTCTTGATTACTTTGACACATACTTATCAATTACTAGAATAACATCCATTAGAATGCTAATTGCCATTGCATCTTTGTACAATCTAGAAATTCATCAAAAGGATGTGAAAACAGCTTTCTTAAATAGTGAGTTAAATGAAGAAATTTACATGCAACAGCAAGAAGAATTTTCTGTTCTAGGAAAAGAAAAGAAAAGAAAGTATGTAAATTGGTTAAATCATTATATAGTTTAACACAAGCGCCAAAACAATGGTATGAGAAATTTGACAAGGCAATGATGTCAAATGGATTTAAAATTAATGAATGCGACAAATGTGTTTATATTAAAAACATAGACAAAGGTTATGTAATAGCATGTCTTTATGTAGATGATATGCTCATCATAGGTAGTAACAATGACATGATTAAAACTACTAAAAAATTGTTGAATAAATATTTTGACATGAAGGACATAGGGATTGCTGATGTAATTCTTGGTATGAAAATTACCAAAACATCAGAAGGATATGCTTTGTCACAATTACATTATATTGAGAAAATACTCGACAAATTTAGCAAAGATGATGATCATCTTGCTAGAACACATATGGATGTTAATTTGTTTCTTTCTAAGAATGTATAGGAAAGTATTTCTGAATTAGAGTATGCCCAAATTATTGGAAGTTTAATGTACTTGATAAACTGCACTTGCCCAGATATAGCATATGCAGTAAGTAAATTACGTAGATCTACGAATAATCCAAGAGTAGAACACTGGACAGCTATTATAAGGGTTCTAAGATATCTCAGATTTACTCATGACATTGGGCTAAATTATACTAAATATCCAACAGTACATGAGGGATACTGTGATGCAAATTGGATATCGGATACTAGAGACTCAAAATCCACCAGTGGGTATGTATTTACTCTTGGTGGTGCGACTGTATCTTGGAAATCTTCCAAACAAACTTGCATTGCTAGGTCTACTATAGAATCAAAATTTATAGCTTTAGATAAAGTTGGGGAAGAAGCAAAATGGCTTCGTCACTTCCTTGAAGATATTCCAATGTGGCCAAAACTAGTGCTTGCTATATGCATACATTGTGATGGTTAATCAGCAATTGGTAGAGCACAGAGTCATATGTATAACGGTAAATCGTGACACATTCGTCGTCGACATAATACCGTGAGACAACTACTCTCTAATGGAGTCATTTCCATTGAATATGTGAAGTCTAAAGACAACATAGCAAATCCACTAACCAAAGGGTTAGCAAGAGAGTTAGTTGAGAATTCATCAAGGGGAATGGGACTTAAGCCTGTTAAATAAGAGTTACCACAATGGCAACCCAACCTAGTTGACTGGAGATCCCAATATCTAAGTTCAAAAGGACAACCGAGTTGTGTATGACTCAAAAGGATCACAAAGGAGTCAGACTTCTACCCATTTCTATGATGAAATAGTGATGTCTGCAGTGTTTTTGATTAAGTAATACTTTTAATGGTTCTTATATCTAGGAATATCTGGTGGAGTATGGCAGGATACTCTTCATAAGAATCACCTATATGAGTGTGAACTGGGCCGGTTCTATGAGATTTGTGAAGGACTACAATTCTCTAGAGTACTCATGAAAGACCAAGTTGTTCAGGGCCAAAATGAACACAATAATAAGAACTAAACTATGTCTGGTAATATATTGTGAGTTCTATTGTCTTGGTTTACACAAATGGCTGAACAGTTTAAGACATCATGTTCACTGATTAGCTAGTAAATCCGATAATGTCTCATAAGGGATGGTTCAAAGCCAAAAGCTAGCTATCCTTTGCAGAATATCTCTGATTTCTATACATACTCTCTATATTAAGATCATGTTGTTGTATTTTCTCTCCGTCAATTCAATTCACGTGGGGGATTGTTAGAAATTATGGTTTTTTATAGGCTTATTTTAGGCCAACATTGAGCCCAAGTTTAAGTGGGGCCCACACATCTTTTGGGGTGGGTCCAAGTGGTGACGTGTTCCTTGCTGCATGGCAAATCACACGGTGCAGATGGTTCGCCAAAACCATTTGTGAGTGGGTTTCCTTGAATTGGTTGTCCCACATTGAAACTTTAAGAGAGCTTATGTGAGTATATAAGCTCTATGTGGACATACTTGGGTTGGGCCCCAAGGGGCACCCCAAGTTTGTGGAAAGGATGAGTTATGAACAAATTGGGCTTTGGCTCAAATCACCACATGGGAGCACCGCCGTCCGTCCGGCCAAGCCGAGCCGTGCCGTGTCATGCGGGTTATGAGACGGGCCCTAATTTTAATTTTTTGAACAAAATTTATTTGAATTTTTTCAAAATTCTTGCAAGAAAAATTTGAATTTTGCACCAAATATTTTGAATTCAAATTTTTAACTAGATTCAAATAGATTTTCAAACTGTTTTAACAGATTGCACCGGACAGATTCAAGTTCATTCCCAGACAAATTCAAAACTATTTCAACAGTTTACACCAGTTCAATTCAAAATCAAACCTATTCAGTTTGAATTTATACCTGTTCGACCCTTCCAAAAGGTCACCACTTAGCCTATAAATACAATAATTCTTCTAGCAGTTTAATTAATCTAAATTCTCTTGTTGTTTTCCGTTTTTCTCTCTTGCATATATATTCTTCATATTAATTTTAGACAAATTTCTGAGAGTATAGAACACAGGTTCTAGTTCGCCGAAGCAAATTATATGAATTTTAGACAAATTTTTGAGAGTATAGAACACAAGTTTTGGTTCACAAATTATTTTTAGTGTTAATACAATATGTGAAAGATCATTGTATTCTAAGAGATAGACGCCATTATTCCGTAAGCACATGAGCGGGTAAATCTGTCTTAAGGATAGAGTGTCACACAGTCGACTTGATCATTCTTGTTTTTAAGTTGTTTCGATAAATAAATTCTATAAGTAATTTATTTTTTTTATTTGATTTGTTTCAAATTATTTTTTATACACAGAAAATTGTTCCTACAGATGATGGTAGTGGTAATGGTACATGTGATGGTGGTGGTGGTGGTGGTGAGTTTATAACAGTGTTTATTGATATTATGTTTAGTATTTAAAAATTTAGTCAGAATTAAATAAGTTTTATATTATTTAAAATTTTCTTAAATTTTAATTCACATTTTAGGACCACTACAAGAATTAACACTTTTGGCAACAAAAAAATTGGTCGCTAAAAGTCAATTTTTGGTCGGCAAAAGTTATCCGCGACCAATTTTTTTGGTCGCTACTTTGGTCGCCAATTGAGGGTCGGCAAAAGTAATTCGCGACCAAAATTATGGTTGGTCGGCAAAAGTTGGATTTCGCGACTAAATTTTTGGTCGCTAAATATTTAATTACCGCGACTAATTTATTTTGTCGCCAAAGCACTTTGGTCGCCAAAAGTGATATTTTCCCGACCAAAAAGTTTGGTCGCCAATTTATCACATTCAACGACCAAAAAGTTTGGTCGCCAATTGTGACATTCCGCGACCAAAAATTTTGGTCGCCAATCATGACATTCCGCGACCAAAAAAATTTGGTCGCCAATCGTGACATTTCGCGACCAAAAATTTTGGTCGCCAATTATTACATTTCGCGACCAAATTTTTTGGTCGCCAATTATCACATTTCGCGACCAAAAAAATTGGTCGTCATTTGTGTCTTTTCGCGACCAAAACTTTTGGTCGGCAAAAGTGAGATTCCACGACCAAGAACTGTTTTGGTCGGCAATACATGTATTTTTTGCGACCAAAACTCTTGGTCGGCAATTGTCATTTTTTGCGAAAAAAAATTATTTTGGATGTCGCGACTAATAATTAGTTGCCAAACCAGGAAAACAATACAGCTGTAATCCCTAATAATTCATTCAATTCATAATAAACCTATAATTTTAAAACATCATTCAATTTAACTGAATCATTAACATTCGACACAATACATAAGGGCCCCACCTTGAGCCCTCAGTTTACTAGTGAAAATTTAAAGGATTTGTTTCAAACATTTTTCATCTATAAACAACTTCAGGATATCTTTTGAACAGTTGTCATATGGAAGCCTCAAGTTCATCCGGGCTTACAGCAGTTCCATTTGGGGTATCATCAGCATGGAGCTGCGAAGAGACATCATCTATGGCAGAGTTCAGCTGCGCGATCTTCTCAGTCAAGATTTTGCGTGTTCTCTGTTCTCATCAAATCATATAAAGTGGATGAGAGTTCATATTGTCAACAGGAATCAATGACAAGATCCCTAGTAAAAATTAAAAAATACACCATATCATAGAAAAAAAAAAGTATTAAATTAAATATTTAATGAATAACGTATATGTCATGTACTCTATGTGATAAAGAATACAGATTCTGGGGCTGCTTGATCATATCAATCAAGCTTCCAAAAATATGATAAATTAAGGGTAAACCACAAATAGATGACCATAGATGAATGGAAAACTAAATAAGCATAATAATAATTTTTTTAATTAATAAAAAAAATGAGAGGACGGTTCTACTTCTCTAACTCCTGTTTTATTAACATCATCATCATCATCATCATATTAGGTTGGTGGAGGGTGGCAAAGTTTAAGAAAAAGAGAGCTTGAGGTGTTTACGAACCAAGAAATTTATGAAAGTCAGCTCCACAAAAGGAAAAAAAAAAATAACCAAGAAATTTTTTTAAATGGAAGCCAAAATGCAAGAGAAAGATCTCACCTCCAAGGCTTTCTCTTCATCATATATGAATTTTGGCAGCTTTCTCATCAAATCTTTCCTGTCTGCTCCTGCCAGTGCCTTGCTGATCTGTAAGGCAAATGAACCTCACAGCAACTATGTTATCCAATCAAATTTGAAGTACCACATATCAAACAATCCAGAGATTTGACCAAATAAATTCAATTCTAATGGATAGACAACAGTTCAGGAATACACACATACCTGGGGTGCATATATACAACCTAGTGCTCCAACAACAATTCCACCCAAGACAAAGCCACCAACAAAGATACTTGCACTACTTGGTCTTCCACCATCCACACTGCACATGCACACAAAGTGAAAAATTGTCATAGAAAAAATAAAGTTCAATCTGACAAGAAGTGACAACAAAATGCTCAAGAACTAAAACAGGATTCTTTGAAAATCATCATAGATGTAAAAGTTTAGAAACTATCTTTTGTAGTCAGCATCAGCAAGGTCATGCTTAATCTGAAATGGTAAGCAAGCATCAAGGGGACCAGAACCATGCCACAATAACTAAAAGGCAACAATTCATGCATGTATGCATTTGCATGTCCGTATGCATGAGAGAGAGAGAGGCAACTTGCATCAAATAACTACAGGGGGAAAAAAATTAAATTATACATTTTTATATGATGTTCATATATATTTAGTTGAGATTCTGAGACCAACTTGACATTAATGTAATTTGCCACTAATCCAAAGTATTTCCTTACCGTTCTCTTCCCTTCTTTCCGTAGTTATGTCGTGTACTATATGCATATTCTTTATCAAATCTCTCTGTTCTTTTTGGTATGTCCTGGAACACAAGTGGTAGTTTAGTTACCTCCATTCTTGCAAAACTTGCCTCTGTGATTATCTGATGTTTGTAACTTGGTTACTCTATGTTGAAGATTAGATCATGAACTTGTAATGCATTCCCACTTTAATTCTCATTCAAACCAATTTCTATTTTGTTTTGTTGTAGTCCCTCAAGCATCAGACAGAAATTCATAATTGTAGTGTGTATTGATTTGTTTTTTCACCTTTCATAGAATTTCATTGCTTATGTTTCTGTTCAATATAACTTGCTTTCTATGCAAATTTTGTCTTAGACTATGTGACGGAGATGGCTCAACTGTTTGGCCAATTTATCTTTTTCCTAAGATCCATCAACAAAACATAATGGTAACAAATTCTTATTACTGAATGTCTAGTTATTCGCGGCTAATTTTTTTGGTCCCTACTTTGGTCGCCAATTGAGGGTCTGGAAAAGTAATTAGCAACAAAAACTTTTTTTAGTCGGGAAAAAGTTGGATTTGACGACTAAATTTTTGGTCGCTAAATATATCATTACTGCGACTAATCCATTTACTTGCTAAAACACTTTAGTCGCAAAAAGTGACATATTCCCAACCAAACATGTTAGTCGCCAATTGTCACATTCCACGACCAAAAAGTTTGGTCGCCAATTGTCACATTCCATAACCAAAAAGCTTGGTCGCCAAAAGAAATGTTTGCGCCAACATGCAACAAAATAAATCTGTAATTCATAATAATCTATCCAATCTATTCAATACAATCTGTAATTTACAATAATCAATCAAACCAATAATTCACTTGAATTATGAACATTCAACAAACTATATAAATCATCAAACTCTGAACCTGTTTAATTAAAGTCAGCAACTATTATAAGTTTTCATCCACAAGTAATTCCAAACTACATA